CCTTTTAACATGGGAGCCTTGTTGCCAGTTCAGGTACAGCATGTGCTGCTAACTACCCTGTTTTGTTACCACCACCATAATCACCTCTTTCTTCGTAACCATGAGAAGCCTCGTGATGCTGAATCTTGCTGCTCACAATCTTGTCATAGACAGTTACTTTCCTGCATCTCAAACAAGTGATCATTTGCCCCTTGCCAGTGGCACTACTTTGGCCAAGATAAGCTCGGATTCGAAGCTGTTCATTAGCTTACCCGACACACACATATCTATAAAGTGGCTGTGGTGGCCTCCTCTGCCCCCTGCCATGGCTCGTTCTTAAAACATACACGGAGACGAATTAGGACCAGAAATTAGCCACTTGGTCCTGTGATCCTACTCTGCCATTTCAGTAGGATCATGGCTGATCTGATTGCTCCACATTCTCACCTACTCCTGATAACCTTTCACCCCTTGCTTATCAAGAATCTATTGACCTCTACCATATAAATATTCAAAGACTATGTTTCCACTGCCTATTAGGGAAGGGAGTTCCAAAGTCTCACAATCCTCCATGAGAAAAAAAATTCTCCTCATCATTGTCTTAAATGAGTGACCACTTATTTTTAAACAGCAAACCCTAGTTCTAGATTCTCCCAAAAGAGAAAACATCCTTTCCACACGAACCTCAGGATCTTTTATGTTTCAATCAAGTTACCTCTTTCTCATCTAAACTTCTAGCAACTGAATTATACCTTCTTTATTCTAGGACTGTGGGAAAGAGTTCACACACACAGGAAACTACAAGCGGCACGTCCGCATCCACACGGGAGAGAAGCCGTTCTCCTGCAGGGAGTGTAATAAAGCATTCTCCGACCCTGCAGCCTGCAAAGCACATGAGAAAACACACAGGTATGGGAGAGCCACTGTGGCTCAGAATCAACATTAGTTATTCAAGGTCATTTGTTAGTTCATGAGAGCAGGAAGAGGCTATTTAGCTCCTCAGACTTGATGTGTCATTTAGTGAGGTCATGGCTGATTTCTAACCTAACAACTCATCATAATAATAAAACTAAGAACTGCGGATGCTGGAAATCTGAAATGAAAACAGAAATTGCTGGAGAAACTCAGCAAGGCTGGAAGCATCTGTGGAGAGAAAGTGATCCTTGTTCAGAACAACAACGTTCATCTTGGCCAGTTCTGTTTTTGTGTAAAAGTTCCTAATTTCACTTTCACTCCTGAAACATTTGGTTCTCAATTTTAGGCTTTTCCCATGAGCCCTTTACTCCCCAATCAGTGGAATACATTTCATCAATTTAACCTATTTCTTCCCTTAACATTTTGAAAACATCAGTCAGCCAACTGCTCCAATCGTCCACTCACTCACCCACCCACCCACAGCCACCTTCACTCACTCACATGCCCACAAATCTGTTCACACAGCCACACTCATCTACCCACCTCTGCAATCACTCACTCACTCCCTCACATTTATTTACTCACCCACCCCCTCACACTCACTCAACCAGCCTGTCACACTTACTCCCCACCCCCACACACCCACTAACCACACCCCCACATTCACTCACCCACCCCATCACACTCACACACCCACTCCCCACCCCTTCACACTCACCCAGCCCCACATACCCACTCACCCACCCCATCATATTCACTCACTCCCTACTCCCTCACACCCACGCACTCACCCCCTCACACTCACTCACCCAGCCCCTTCCACCCAGCCCCTCACACTCACTCACCCAGACCCACTCATCCACTCCCGCACACCCACACACTCAACCCCTCACACTCACTTACCCACCTCGTCACACTCACTCACTCACACCTACCCACTCCCTCACACTCACTCACCCACCCCCTCACATGTACTCGCCCACCCCCGACACTCATTTTGCACCCCTCTCACATCACCCTCTCCCTCCAGGCCCCAGGTGAGTGTTGCGGATTTTCCAATAAGGAGCAAGTTCCTGCAACTGTGAAAGGATCATATCCCTGGAATCCCCCAAAACACAGTCAGAGCATCCTGACTGAAATGCCAATCAGGAGCACTGCAAGGTTCACCCACCAGGGTACAGAACATCCATTCAATGCTCAATATTTTGGGGAATAAAGCTTCACCAGTCCATCGGATTCTCAATGCTCCCCCCTCACCCTCATTCTCCTCCTCCTCAGCCACTGTTTTCATGACAATAAGATCATAAAATGTAGGAGTAGGAGTAAGTCATCTGACCCATCAAGCTGCTCTGCTATTCAATAAGATCATGGCTGATTTTTTTTTTGTGGACTCAGCTCCACTTACCTGCTTGCTCACCATAACCCTTAATTCCTTTACTGTTCAAAAATTTATCTTTGCCTTAAAAACATTTAACAAGGTGGCCTCAACTGCTTCACTAGGCAGGGAATTCCACAGATTCACAACCCTTTGGGTGAAGAAGTTCTTCCTCAATTCAATCCTAAATCTGCTCCCCCTTATTTTGAGACTATGTCCCCTTGTTCTAGTTTCACCCAACAGTGGAAACAACCTTTGTTTCTATTCAGTCTATTCCCTTCATAAATTTATATGTTTCTATAAGATCCCCCCTCATTCTTCTAAATTCCATTAAGTATAGTGTCAGTCTACTCAATCTCTCCTCATAAGCCAACCCTCTCAACTCCAGAATCAACCTAGTGAACCTCCTCTGCACCCCCTCCAGTACATCCTTTCTCGACTAAGAAGACCAAAACTGTACACTGTACTCGAAGTGTGGTCTTGCCAGCACCCTTTACAGCTGCAGCATAATATTGTGACAGCCTCCCAGTCTCATTCCACAGCTCCAGACAGAGTAAAGCCATTGATATCACACTGCTTGATGCTCCTCCAGTCAAAGACTTCCTCTCTTGCAGTTGATATATCTCTAGAAATGGTTGGTTGGGTCACACAGGACTCCAGGTTGGCCACCTGTTCGGAAATCTGGTTTAGGCGTGGGATTAGGATGAGCTGAGGTTAATATAGAAGCCAACAAGGCGGAGGTTTTGAAAAATCAAATCTGGAGGTGGCGTGGGCATAATTGAAACCAGTTTTGTATTCCAAACCCGGGCTGCCCCGAGGGCTGGAAACAAGTTGAAGGAATAAATTAAGGTGTAATTTTTTCATCATAGTGCATTTTCATCAGGACACAGATCAAACTTAACCGACAACAGTGAATTTATTCATAATTAAATACAGTTCCCTAAGAAGACAAAAGCTTTCGATTGGAATCCTGTGCTAACAGTATTTCCTTTTCCCACAGTCCTGTTAAACCTCATTCCTGTGAAGAGTGTGGGAAGAGCTACCGGCTCATCAGTTTGTTGAATTTGCATAAGAAGCGACACACGGGTGAGGCTAAGTACACGTGTGATGACTGCAGGAAAACATTCACCACCTCCGGCAACCTGAAACGCCACCAGTTGGTTCACAGTGGTGAGAAGCCTTACCAGTGCGATTACTGTGAGAGATCATTCTCTGATCCCACTGCCAAAATGCGGCATCTGGAAATGCACGATGCTGACAAGGTTCACAAGTGTCCACACTGCGAGAAACGTTTCAATCAGGTAGGACTCCTCCTTTCCCCACTTCTTAGCAGTTCAATATTTACTAATCTTACTCCGCCTTCAATGCAGGGGTCAGTTGTAACACTTCTACTGCTGCAGGGGCCAAGATCAGTGAACTCAACTAGAATGAGGATGGTATCTGTCTCTGCAGCCCGAGCAGTATTCTAAGCAAGTAGGTAATTTCTTTTGTGTCAAAGCCATGAAGCTATAACATGGGACTAAATTGGCACTCAGAGAATGTGTAAAGCACATCAACAGGAAGAAAGGATTTCTTTTCCAAAAAATGATTGGGATTATCGAATCTGCATGGCAGATGACAATTCCTCGGTTTGAATGCTTGCATAGGTGGCTCCACAAGGATCTGTTGTACTCCTGATCCAGCAACACTGAACTGAAAATGATTTAATGGCTTCTTCAGACCTGCATTCACTGCGGTGAGTTTAAACAGGTTCTGTAAAGGAGGGGAAGTGGCTACTATTTTTTTAAAATATACCTCTGAGTGGCTAGCAAAGGCATAACATTGTGTACCTCTCTGATGTTATGGAGTCATCGTGACACAGATGGAGACCATTCTACCCTGGGATAAAAGGTGTAGAATATACATAATTACAATTTGTGATCTGAATTTTAAAATAGAGCCAAATAGGTTTTGGTTAGGTCTACAAAGATAGTTTTTAAAAGGATTGTAAAGTTATTTGGTACAATGACATAAATACATCATATCCTAGCAGGCATGTTATTCACTCAAATGGAGTTAATGGATGAAATGTTTACACTGCTGAGTATAAAACAGGCAGAAAAAAATGATTAAAGCTACTAGTTTTGTTTGGACTTCAAAACAGAGGGTTCAAGGTTTCAGTTCAGCAGAACCAGTCAGCCAGGCAGAAGTGTTTTTTTTTTCTCAGCTGTGCAGCATCCAGGTTGTGAGAGTGTTGTAAAAGTTTTCAAGCCAACTGAACTGAAAGGAGATTTAGCTCATCAGGGGTGAATGAGGTTCATGCCAGCAGACTTGGAAAGGAATTATAAAACTGTCTTAGGAATCCAAGGGCAAAGGAATCTGGGAAACGTCAAGAAAGTAAAACATTAAAGAGTTGAGATAAGATTTTATTTCAGTATCTGTAAAAGGACGTGTTGGAAAGTCCATTGAAATGCTGTTTTGCAGTTTGTGTCTAAATCTTCCTAACTGTCTAATATAAATAGAGAACTTCTTTGTTTCTTTTGTTTAATACAAATATGTTCTGTTAAAGAACATCTGCAACCTCACATGAATATATTGTAATGACTAACCACCATAGTAACCAACAGGTTAAAAAACAAACATGATCTATCAAGTCAAGTTTCATTCTGGGATTTTATTTGGCTGACTATTAATCATCAGCTAGGATCAACAAGTCCAATGCCAGATTTCTGTGGAGTAATCCAGTCAGTCCCATTCCCTCCCTGTTGCCCAACAAGTTCAGTTACCCATCCAATTTCATTTTGAAATCATTAATCATCTCCTCTTCCACTACACTTGTTGGTAATGAGTTCCACTTCATTATCATCCTCAGCATTAAAAAAAGTTCTTCGTCATATCCCTTCATAACTTCATTTCAAAACATTAAATCTGGGTCCCCTAGTCCTTGTACCATCTGCAAATAGCAACAGCTTTATTTGTCTACTTTAACCAAATCTACTATAATTTCAAATCTCCCCTCAATCTTCTTTGTTCCATGAAGAATCCAAGTTTCTCCAAAGCAACCTTCTAGCTAAAATTCTTCATCCCCAGAACCATTCTGTGATTTCCTCTGCACCCTAGAAAGGACCTTCATATCCTTCCTATAGTGTGGTAACCAGAACTAGGTGCAACACTGTAGTTCTGGCCTGTTGTCCATGTCCCCAACCATGTTACAGTGTGGATGAAGGTCCCTAATGTGGGGCTGTTAGTCATAGAGGGAAACAAATGACTTGCTCATGACCAGCAGCTACTTCTCCCAAAGCCCTTCCCTCTTATCTCTCAAGCTCAGTTTTATTTCCTTTTCTGCCTGCCCTTTCAGTCTCTCTTCACAATGTATCAAGACTCTAACTGACTGCCACTGGCTTTGGTCATTTCTCTTCTGGAGAGTCCATTTTGCTCTACCTGAGACCCACAACCAAAGTTAAAACTCACCTCATGACTGGGATCCAGGACTACTTCAGGCCTTGCAAACTCTGCCGACAAGAGGCCTCCATTATTCAGAGAGCAGGACGCCTTCAGAACAGGAGTTGTCATCCATCACATGTTTATGCTACTTGTTTGGATCCTGATTGCTAATGCATGCTGCAAAATCTAAACACAGCATTAGCTGCTGATGCAGTTTATTGTCACTTTATCTGTTTTACAGCTGGGGAACTTGAAAGCCCATCTGAAGATTCACATTGTGGATGGACCCCTGAAGTGTAGGGAATGTGGGAAGCAGTTCACCACATCAGGTGAGAGCTGGGCTTGCTGTGACCAGTACACTGACCTTGTGAAATGTGTAATAAAACACCTGTGCTCAGCATTGACTTGGTCAGTTGTATAAGCAGGTAGTCAAGCAATTGAGAAAGATACTGGCTCCATGTCTGGAGTTGGGTGACATCAGCCAGAATGAGAAGGATGCAAATTGACTTTCATGTTCCTGGGTTAGAGAATGGAAAAGTGGCTGAAGATTCTTTTCAATGGGTAGCATTCTGTCTTCTTAAGTCAAAGACTATAGTTTCAAGCCTCACTTGAGAAACCTGAACATATGTTCCTGGTTGATACTCCAATGCTGAGCAAGGTGTCATTTTTCATTATTTCATTATATTATAAGCCAAAGTCTAAGAACAGGCTCAGCACTATCCGATGATAATGAGGTGTGATCTCTCTGATATCGTGGTCAATATTTATTCCACCAAACTGCATGCTGACAATAGATTACATTTCATTTTACTTATTCATGAGATCTGGGCTTTGCTGGCAGATCCTGCATTTATTGCCCATCTCTAATTGCCCCGGAGAAGGTGATGGTGAACTAACCTATTTGAACCACAGTAGTCCTTGGATCTAGACAGATCCATGTTGCTATTGAGAAGAGAGTTCCAGGACTTTGGTTCAGCGACACTGAAGGAATAATGTATTTTCAAGTCAGGATGGTGCATTGCTTGGAGGGGAACTTGCATGTGGTGGCGAGACCTTGCACCTGCTGCTCTTGTCCTTCTAAATGGTAGGGGTTGTGGGTTTGGAACATGCTGTCAGAGGAGAATTGGTGCTACTAAGCATCAGTGCTGGATGAAGTGGATGTTGAAGATAATGGATGATTTGTCAGTCAAGCGAGCTGCCTTGTCCTGGATGGTGTCAAACTTCTTCAGTGTTGTTGGAGCTGCACTATTCTTGGCAAATGCAGTGTATTCCATCACATTCCTGACTTATAGCTTGTAGATGGTGGATAGATACTGGGTAACCAGGAGGTCAGTTACATGCTACAGAATTCCTAGCCTCTGTCCTTCTCTTGTAGCCGTAGTATATATAAATAGCTGGCCCAGCAGTTTGTGAGATCTTTCTTTTCTTTCTCCAGTTTCTGGAGCTATGGGCTGTACTGTGCCTTTCCTGGGGCTGGACCCTCTTTGTTTTGCAGACCATTCCAGTTTATTAAAGTTCTGTTCACTACATCCTGGCACTAACCCCAACAGATCTACTTTACAGGAAACCTTAAACGCCACCTGAGGATCCACAGTGGGGAGAAACCGTACGTCTGCCCACATTGCCAGCGAGCATTTTCTGATCCTGGAGCATTGCAGCGTCATGTGCGCATTCACACAGGTAACAACCTGAAATATCTGCCCATGTGGGGCATTGGTATTCAGTAAGAATCACAAAGTCACCTCTGAAAAAGATCAAAATAAGTTTCAGAATCAAGATGGAAGTGTATTGTCTGATGCAGCCTCATACCAAGAGGCCTCAAAAACTGGTGATTAATTGTCAATGTAACAACATCATAACAACATCACGTGGGCTGTGGCTGGAGCTGCAATGCCTGTTAGAGGGCAGCTGTAGTCATACCCAAGGCTGCCTGAGCTGCTGTTCCCTGGGGGCACAGGGAACATTCCTTTGTGGTTATGTCAGGTCTCTGTGTCTGTTTTTCCCGTGACCTGTGTAGCCAGCTCTGCATCTAAATTTGTCAGCTGGGGATTCTTTACACTTGTTTTTCTTTTAAACTGTTTCCCACCCCACCCTAAACCACAGTAACAGTTCAGCAATTCTGGTGTATGTGCACAGTAATTAGAGCACACACATGGCTGCGCCCTGATCTGTACAGGTCCCAGGTTCAATGCCCAGAGTTGACTGGAGTGATGTTCCGCACACTGCAGTGGACTCAGTGTCTAAGTAAATCAGCCACACCTCTTGCTGTAATCACTTATCACCAAATATATACCAGGAAGTGCTTGCTTGAACACTTCTGAGGAAGGGTCACCAGACCCAAAATGTTAATTCTGATTTTTTTCTTCACAGATGCTGCCAGACTTGCTGAGCATTTCCAGCAACTTCTGTTTTTGTTCCTGCTTGAACATTGCAAGGATTAAGTCAGGATTGGTTTGGGTTCCATCCATGTTTCCCTGTATCTCAGTGCACTCATATGAACAACTGAATTAGAAGCAGAAGTATCCCATATGGCCCCTTGAGCCTAGTACAACATTCAATAAGATCGTGGTTGATCTGCTTGTTTCCAATTCCACATTCCCATTTACCTTGGAATTTATCTGCCTGTGTCTTAAAAATATTCAATTACCACGTCTCCACCACCTTCTCAGACAGAGTTCCAAAGTCACACAACCCTCAGAGAAAACAAAAAAGTTCCTCACAACCATTCTAAAAGGGAGACCCCTAGTTCTGTACTCACCCCAGAAGATGAGGCATCTTGTCAAGGATGTTTAAGATCTTATAGTTATTAAGTCCACCAGTTCAAACATATCATGGCATACCTTCAGGTTAGGTGAATCCTGACCTTCTGGTCCAGAGGCAGGGACACTGCCACGCCCCAATCTTACACACTTCAATGAAGTCACCCCTCATTCTTCTAAACTCGAGTCGAAGTAAGTCCAGCCTGTTCAACCTATCCTCACAAGACAGCCCACAGTCTCAGCTCAAAAGTGAAGAATTGCCATTTGGGTGAGAGTCTGCACTACTCATTAAAGACTGGTGTTTTCTGGAGAGGAACGTAGAACATTGATGGTTGAAGTGAACTGAGAAGTAGAAGAAATCCTAAAAGTGGGGCAATGAGGTAGTTGCTGATTATCACAGCACAGATATTGAATAAAATATACATCAGAGTTTCCGTGTCCTCCTGCTGTGATTCTTGGCAACATTAACCGAGGTCTTTTGCAGGTGAGAAGCCTTGTATCTGCATCATATGTGGGAAAAGCTTCACTCAGGCGAGCTCTCTAATAGCTCATATCAGGCAACACACAGGGGAGAAACCGTACGTCTGTGACCGCTGTGGTAAAAGGTCAGTAATAGAGATCAACATGATATGGAATTGTCTGTCTGGATTATACTTGTGAAATTTAAAAACAGAAAGATATCAGATGAACCAAAGACTGGGTGATGACCATTTCTTCAGGGAGGGTTTACGCTGGGGTGTCCTTTTCCAGGGTGAGAGCTTATATTGAGGTAAACTGTGAGACTTATGCAGGATGACCTGTTCTGCGTGGGGTTTTTTTTAAACATTAAATGATGTTTGTTATGTCTTTCTGTCCCCTCAGGTTTACCCAATCCAGTCAGTTGGCCAATCACATCCGGCACCACGACAACATCCGGCCACACCAGTGTCACATCTGTAACAAGGCATTTGTTAATGCTGGTGACCTTGCTAAACACGTCATCATCCACACTGGTGAGTAACAGCAGCTCCCACTAACCTCCACCAGTTTGTGCTCACTGGGTACAGTGGTTCTGGTAGCTGCCAAGGGGTTGATAGTTTCAACATGGTGGGGGTGGGGAGTGCTTAAAAAAAAAACTGTTTTCGTGAAAGCTGTCCATTGATGCAATCCAAATGGTTCCCTAATGTTTGACAGTTTTGGGCAAAAGGGGTCACAGCCTTACCCAGTCATCCCATCACATCACTCCAGGTTTGCATTTGTGATTGATTCAGTACATTCAGAGCATTGAGGATGTTGGCAATAAATAAATGTCAGTTTTGTCAAAATCCAGAGAATAAATGTAAAAGAAATCATTGTAGTTAATCTGTAACTTGACTCCAGTTTCATGATGTCAGATACCTGACTCACCTACTATAGCTGGCCCCAAGCTAGCTGCTTTATTTCTGGCCAATATGTGGTCCTTAAATGTATGGACTGGTTTCTGTTCACCAGTCAGCAAAATTTTATTTTCTGGAGCTTGGCCAACTACTGTATAATTTGAAATCTGTTCCTGGTGTGTTGAGTTTAATCTGGGTGCTGTTTTTATGTGTATCAGGTATACAATGGGATAGAAACAGAAGAAGCTGGAGAAACTCAATGGGTTCCTCTCCACAGCCCCTGTGAAAAGTAGAGTTGAATGTTTCGAGTCCAGTAACTCTTCTTAAGAACTAATAGTAGCTGGGAGAAGATGGTATATATGCTGAAAACAGAGAATGGGGAGCAAATGGAGTCCAGAGAGAGAAAGAACAACAGTTGGGAAAACAAAGGGAAGACAATATGCCAGGGAGAAAGTAAAGCGGCTAATGGGTACTGTAAGTAGGTAAAAATGGGTTGGCTGTGCTGAAAGCAGCCCACATCATGACAGGGCCTGGAATGTAGGGCTGAGGAAAGGATGTAGAAGAAGGTGATCAAGTTCTGAAATTATTGATCTCAACATTGAGTCCAGAAGGTTACAGGGTCCCCAAGCAGAAGATGAGATGCTGTTCTTTTAGTTTACACTGAGCTTTGCTGGAGCACTGCATCAGGCCAAGACAGAAATGTTGGCCAGGGAATACGGTGGTGTGTTGAAGTGACAGGCAACTGGAAGTTCAGGGACAGTTTTGTGGACAAATGGTAAGTGTTCTACAAAATGGTTGCCCCGTCTGCCTGTCATCTCCCCAGTGCATAGGACGCAACACTGTGAATAGATATAAGCAGGTGAGCAAATATGGGACTTAGTTGCAAACTGTTGATTTTAACCTGGTTAATTGGGTATAATACAGAAACTGGCTGGTTTGCCAAATATTATCTGAGGCCATATCAATGCTTTCTGTAGATGGTTAAAGTCTGCTCAGAGGGAAAAAAGAAAGAAAGTAAACAAGAAAGTCATACTTGGAAATGTATGTACTGATCATACCAGAGCTCTATTTTGAGGTATACATTATGAATCAGATCAATGTGTGTCATCTGCAAGTTTTACTGGTTTATCCTTCAGGTTGTTCAGGTATGTTAGACAGAAAGTGAGGCCTGGTCAAATAGTGTGGGTTGTAATCTGAAGGCTGCTTAAGGTAGGTATTTCAATCTTACTCAAACGTGTTATGACACACCTCCAGAGCAGGTGGGACTTGAACACGAATCATCTGACCCAGAGGTAGGGACACTACCATTACCCCACAAGAGCCCCCTCTGTTGGGTATAGTCTGTAACCTGCTGAATCTGTTAAATGTTACTTCCTGGTTCTAATAAGCTTTCACTTTCTGTAACAGGTGAAAAGCCCTATCTCTGTGATACATGTGGACGAGGTTTCAATCGTGTCGACAATCTGCGGTCACATGTTAAAACTGTCCATCAGGGAAAGACCAGCCTTAAAAAGCTCAAAACTAAAGACGAGGATGATGATGAAGAAGAAAGGAATGTTGTCACTGTTACAACAGACACTGTGGTTACCTTGGCAACTGAGGCACTGGCTGCTACTGCAGTGACTCAGCTGACTGGTGAGCATTGCCATTACTATGGCCACCAGTTGCACGCAGAATATTTAAAAATGACTTTCATTTACATAGCACCTTTCATGACCAGTGAATGTTTCAAAGCTCATAACAGCCCAGGTAGATTGTTGAAGTAAACATACTGTTATAATGTAGTAAATACTGGCAGCTGCATTGTGCACAGCAAGCTCCTACAAAGGTAAATAGCATAATAACCAGTGATGTTGATTGACAGTGAAACATTGGCTAGGACACAGAGGAGACTTTCCCTGCTCTTTGTTGGAATAGTGCCTCGGGCATCTTTCACATCCACCTTGGAACGTCATATTTGAAAGGTGGCACCTCCAATAGTGCAGCACTGCTCCAATACTTCACTGGAGTGTTAGCCCAGATTTTTGTGCTCACATCACTGGAGTGGGATTTAAATCCACAGCCTGATTATTCAAAAGTGAGAGTATTACCAACTGAGCCACAGCTGACATTTCTAATATATGCATGCGTAAGTGTTCATTTGAATAATGCATGCAACAAAATAAGTGTAACTACAGTGACTTGAACTGCTAACCAAACAGTAAATTTACAATGAAGAAATGAACCATTTGACTACACCTCACATGGCCAGTAAATCCAAAACCACCACGAAATGAACGAGGATCTAAATCAAGGATAAACATGGTTGAGTCACGTGGTTGTGAACGTCTACAGCCAGACGTATGTTCTAGCTGCAACTATGCATGTTCTGATATTTGTATGTCAGTCAGTACTGAGTTTTATGAGATCAAGTTGTACCATTGCTTCTGCATTCACAGTGTTAACTGTTAGCTTTGATTTAATCCCTGATTTATATCCTTGTAGTGGTTCCTGTGGCAACAGCAGTCACTGCTGATGAGACAGAGGTCCTGAAAGCGGAGATTACAAAGGCAGTAGAGCAGGTTCAGGAAGCAGGTGAGGATCTCGCTGACCATCAGAAGAGGAGATTTGGAGTTTATTACTGGTACTTTGGTGCTGAAACTTCCTTATCGCAGATCACGTCCCCCCCGCCCCCCGCGTAAACCTCTCACCTGTCTCTGTACATTCTCCATTGTGGCTCCTTATGTTTCACTACTCCCCCAAGGATTCTACTCATTTAAAGAGTTCCTGATATAAGATATCCATTTTAAGGAAAGTCTGAGCCTGAAATGCTTCCTGTTGTTGTAATTCAACCAATCCATATTAGCATAATCACTTGGAAAAAAAATCACCATTTAAAACTACATATATATGGCACCTTTCACTACCTCAGATCATCCCAAGTGCTTGCCGGACAAAGAAGCACTTTTGAAGTGTAGTTGCTGTTGTGTTGCAGGAAATGCAGCAGCCAGTCTGTGCATGGCCAGCTCCTAAAGGCAGCAATCCACAACCTTATCTAATCTGGCTAATGCGTTTTACTGGCTGAAGGACGTATATTGTTCAGAAACCAGAGGATGCTCCCATGCTGTTCTTCTGTGGTGTGACATGGGATATTCTAGCCAGGTCTGCCTTAGACAGAAACTTGATTTACTGTTTTGTCTGGAAGACAGCAACTTTGGTACAGAACTGAGTTACAGCCTGCATTTTTATGAGGTTAAATTGTAATAACGTGTGGTGTTGCAGGATGAAGGGATCACATCAAACATCGAACCTACTTTAATTTAGTGTTGGTATCATCAGTTAATGACATCTCTGATGGCTGCTTTTTCTTCTCAGATCCAAATGCACACATCCTTTATGCCTGCGATTCTTGTGGGGAAAAGTTCCTGGATGCCAACAGCCTGGCACAGCATGTGCGCATCCACACAGCCCAAGCCCTGGTCATGTTCCAAGCCGACACAGACTTTTACCAGCAATATAGCAATGGCAGCTGGCAAACTGAGCATGTCATCCAACCTGGAGAACTCCTGTTCCGAGCACGGGATGGGACGGATCTGCCACCTGCTGTTGCCGAACAGACTCAAGTTGAGAGTTGCCAGAATCCCTCACAGTGAGGGCGTGATAGAGGCAGCCAGGTACACTGTGCAAGATATGTAGGACAATACCACAAATGCACTGTTGTTACAACTATGCTGAATGCAGCAATTCAACTGTGACTTGGACACTAAAGAAGAGGAAGCTGCAAAACTCACTCTATAACTGCTATCCTTCAACATGTAAAGAGGCTTTGTGCTTTTCTCAAATCAAGTCATATTGTAAAAGCAGAATTAACCTGGGCAACAACATTGTGGATTCACAGCTGCAGGACTGTGATAAAACAAGGCAGCGATGATGGTTGTAGATTGAAACTGACAGCACCTGCTGTTCAGCTGCCCTGTTACAAAGATTTCTGATTTTTCTTCATATTGAATGCACTAGGCCCAACCCAGTGAGGGTTGGTGTTGGAAGGGAAGCTTTACCCCCCTGGGGATTTGAACCCACAATTATGAAGCAACAGTCAACATTATGCACTACATGGGATCCGTTTAATGCACTGTGATCATTACTAAGTGGTCACTCCTCGTGAGTATCAGCTCACACCAGAATGCCAAGTCCCTTTGTTGCTGTACACATTGTGCATTGTTTTTCTATGCTGAATGGCTCCACCATTTGTGCTATGTAGGATAAGAAGCGTTTCCACTATTGGATCAGCCCAACTGATGGCTATTTTAAGAATAAAGAAAATGCATTAAGCACATTTTGGGCATCATCTTTGATCATCAGTTCTTAAAAACATGACCCAGAAACAGAGCTGTTCAAAATACTGCTAAAGCATTTCAGTGATTGGATCCATGTTCTGCAAAGCAGATGTTCTATTGGCAGAACTTTTGAAGTGAAGACAAACACTATTCTTGATGAGTTGGCGCAATCTGGTTACATCAGTGCTGCATTGGTGCTGTTTGACTCTGGCAATTTAATGAGGTTTTGCTGCGATTTCCATAACATGTAACTGGGGCCAGTTCTGGGCCTGGAAGCTGACACCATATAGTATCAAATTCCTGTTGACCGTTATAGTGGAAGGAAAACTCATTGACTTAAGAGAACACCTTCTTATCGCCCATTCACCCCAACCAAGTTCCAAACCAATTCTAAATCCCTGAAACTGAAGCAATTACTTTGATGGTATGTTTCAAACTGTATTTTAGACAGTATTAGGGTTTGTGTTTCTTGGAATAGAAGCTGCCTGTCCTTTTAGAAGACTTTTCTCTTGAACCACATGATTTCCACTTTTTGCTCTCACAAATGAACTGCCATTTTTTTTTAATACCCCAGCTGTTGCTATCAGTCACTGCTGAAATTCTCTCATCTTGTGCTTGGATTATGAAACCATTACTTGAGTTTCTGAGAGCATCATTCTGTGTGCGAGAATAATTTCTGCCATTTACCCAGTGTCTCTGCAGCATGTCTTGGCCTGAAAGCTGACTATGAAGTGGTTAAAAACTGTGACATCAGATTATTTACCACAGCTGAATACCAAACAAAGGAAATCCCAAGTCTTTAAAGATCCTCCATATCTATTTATATTCAAGAAACACCAGAGAAACGTTAAAAGGGATCTGCTTTGGGTCACACTATAAAATTCCTGTTCTTAGCAACTAAAGCCTCAGAAAAATCTCTCTCATGATCTCACCTTAGTTAGTCTTTCTCATCAACTAGTCCCAGCCAAACAATAATCTCAGTCGGATAAAATCTGAAGATACAAATAAAAACAAATCCTGCTAGAACACCTCAAGGTCTTACAGCATCTGTGAAGCAAGAAATTAAGTAAGTTAATGTTGAATCTCATAGAACTCTCCCTTGAAAGGGTTCCCTCCAGCATTTTTGTTTTTATTAACAATCTCAGTATGGTCTGTTTCTGCTCTGTATCTCATCACTAGTCTAAGAAAGATGTGGGAATTTTCAGACTTCCTCTGGGTTGCATGCAACTTCTGGCAATTGAAATATTGATCTTCAATACTTGAATCTTCGATTAATGGTGCAAGAGGGAAAGAGAAGTGATTCATAAATAAGTTTCTTAAAGGGACAGATATTTAGGTGTTTTCTATAGACGCAGAACACACACACCACCCCCTCAGTTGCAGTGATGTCTGTACATGGTATATGAAATTTGTTTGAAAATTGATAATTATTAACTTAAGATAAAACACTTGGTTCGTCACTCACTACCTGTCTTGAGTTTTTCTCCTTCTGAAATGGGCACTTCTGTTTCTGTGAATATTTAAAAGTTTGGATCAATCCCAAAAAATATATAGTACATAAAGTGAAGCAGTTGTGTTTTGTGAGTAATGGTGTCAGGATGCATTTCATTTCCTCTATTCCTATAAGGGGTAATTCTTGGGTTGTCTTAATTCAAATTGCAGTCATTGGTTACCTTGAGGTATCACATTCTCATCTTAAATGGGTTGTCTAACATTAATCTTCTATCTGATCTCTCCAAGTTGAGTGCATTAAACCTACACACACAGTAGCTGATCCCTTTTACAACTGGAATCCAAATGAATCAGTTGTTTCAGGACATGTTCTCTGCCCCATGGGCATCTGCATTAAATGCTCTACCCAAAGGGTAGACATTAGGAATTCTTCTGACTCGATGTGGAGTTAATAAAGATTCAATATTGAATATACAGCAGAATTAAAACGGAAAGTTGGAGATTCCCCAATGATTCTGGGGTAAACTCCAAGTCGGATTAGCTATAAAGATCGGAAAAATCTAATTTCTAGTCTGTTTTGGGCTAACTGATCTGAACCATAGAAGTATCTGGTTCAACACTTAGCAATGAGGGTGTGAAAAATAAATCATCCAAGCTAGTCCTTGCAATCATGATGCAAACCTGTGATACTAAAAGGCTACCTGAATCCAAGGAATTGTATCCCAGCAAGGAAGAAAAGTAGGAATTAAGGATGTAGAACTTTCTAGATTGGACTACAGGTAACCTTTGTTCTGTTTTTTTTTAAAAAATAAACTTGCCATGTTTATAAAATAAAAACATGATCCACGCTGTCCAGGTGAAAAGATGGTGGAAGCAGATTCAGTCGTAACTTTCAATAGGCAATTTGATGTTTACTTAGGGCACAGTTGGAGGGTTCCAGGGTGGGACAAATTGAGTATATCTTTCGAAGAGCCAACACAAATGATGGGCCGAATTGTCTTCCTGAGCTAAATGGAAATTGATCTACATAGAACCAACCCGAGATGATCGGGTAGCCACACGATGGCGCTGTACACAAGTGTGGAAATGGACATCAAAACCTTTGGAAAGTCTCAAAAACTAGGGACTCTTAATTAGTTGAGATAACAAGGTGTAGAGCTGGATGAACACAGCAGGCCAAGCAGCATCAGAGGAGCAGGAAGGTTGACGTTTCGGGCCGGTGTTTTTGATTTCTATTCAAACTGTGAATGATGTGGATCACAGAGTATGATCCGGCTGTAAAATACATCCCCTTGCAGAGAGGCGACATCCCACAGCTCCACACAATGATCCGTTTTGTTTCAGTGTAGTTAGCTATTCTGCCTGTGCTGCCTCTTGGTTGCCACCAGTAGACGCTGTGGTACAGTGTTTGAATGCCTCCGTAGCTGGTAAACAACACATTTGGACTAGGTCGCAATTTACAAAATTTAAAATAAGAATTTAACACAGAGCAAGCTTTTTAAACTACAAATACCACTTGTACAAGAAAAGAAAACATGGGCTATTAGAAACATTACTTCTCCTTCTAACTTAAGGACTGAAAACTTTCCAGTCATTGGTCTCAGCCACTGATTTTGGGAGTTCTATACGGTTTATTCCTGCGCGCAGGCATTCAACACACTCGATGAATATCTCTTGTATTGGCCAGCTTTCATTGACTTTGAAAGCAATAATAGTTTACCTATATTGTAGGTTTATATATTTATATTTAGATTCATTGCAAGGATTGCATTTTCAGAAGTCATTTATTATTTGGGCCATGCAACAGTTTGATTGTAAATAGGTGGCCTGCAGTTGGTGGCATATGTAGGAGTGCAGAGAAGAAAAGCAAGAATGTCAAATGCTGTGAATTTGGCTCAACAGATCACTCAACATGTTAAAGAGAAATACAGATTAGTTTGAGATAAGAATCCTTCAGCAGACTTGCAAGAGTAAAGTGTGTCAACAGTCACATCCACAAGAAGAAGACGGACTTTAATTTCATTACGGCTTTCTCCGGTTGAAAATATTATGGAGTGGAAAGGTGGAATTTCTGGTCAGAGTCTGATGGCTTCTTAAAATGGACAGAAGCCATTAACAATTTAACACTGCATTATGAAACCTGATCCATGGCAGATAAAACCTTAAATCCAAGTATTGGCAATTACCATGTAGAAGCTTTTAGTCTGAATTGATAAATTAGCGTTCACAGGTAGTGATAGTAAAACTGCCTCCTGCCCAACTATGATTTTTCCAGAATTGGGCAAATTATTCCGATGTCTCAAAGGTCAGCCAATGCCAGAGTATGTTATTGGAAGAGCCTCTTGTTTGAAACAGTCCTAAATTGCATTAAGATCCCGAACAAAGTTGCTGGAAAAGCTCAGCAGGTCTGGCAGCATCTGTGAAGAGAAAAAAAAGTTAACATTTCGGGTCCAGTGACCATCCTTAGAATTTTTTTTTTCACAGATGCTGCCAGACTTGCTGAGCTTTCCCAGCAACTTTGTTTTTGTTCCTGATTTACAGCATCCGCAGTTCTTTCGGTTTGCATTAAGATCCCACTATCTGCAGGTTAAACTTCAAGTCCACGTTTCAATCTAGTACGGCCCCAAGACATCACCCAATCCAGCTACTCATTGTTCACCACTATTCAACAATGCAGTGTGTAGAACCAGAAGTCAAAGCATCACCTACTGTTCAGAACAGCAATATTTTATGCTAATTAGTGCAACTCATGTAATCAATGACTTGGTAGAAATTAGGATATTATAATACAGGGTTTTATATACTGATTAATTCACAAATTCTTCAGGCAGAACAGGACTCGGATCTAAACTAATTTGTACCCGAGTTAATGTGATGCTGTGGTTTTCTCTCAAAGTGCAAACATGCCTGACTTAGCAATCTGTTCACTGCAGTTGCTTCCTTGTTAACTCTAGCCACCATGTAGCTCTAGGTAATGCATCATTTTAGAGATCAGGAAGCTTACCAGTTCAATGTAAGGTCAATGTTGTTAGCTGCTGCTAGAGTAACAGGAGAAGTGGTAAGATTGGTTTCTATATCTCCAGACCACAATTCCTTTTCCTGGCCACTATCGAGTAATCTATACATACGTGATATATGAGATGAAGGCAGTTTGACTCAAATGGCCTCTCTGTTGAAGGCCAGTCCTAGCGCTCTACACTGATACATATGAAGACTGGTCAGCAGGTTCAAGTTGCAGAAGACATATGGGGCAATGTGCCAGTGCCTGTATGTTCTTAGCTTCTAGACACCAGTATTGGGACGAAATTGGACATGGAAACATTTCTCTTATTGGTCTTGGTACTCAAGGGCTCTGTATTGTAATTAATCAGTTACTCTAGATCAAATTTGGCACCCATTGATAAATATCTTCCTACCCAGATTTGCAAATGTGAATAAATGATAAAACTTAGCATCTCAAAGGCCAGTCAAAGCATCTTATATAAAGCATTGAACTAAGCAGCCTGCTTCTTTCAGAGGATTAATATTTATCCCAACATAATTAATTTCTTGAAGGAAAGTTCTTCAAAATTTTTGACAGCAAAAGGAATCACAAAATATATCCTATTTTGGAAAGGGACTAGCAATTTGAACTGAACTTCGAACCTTCCTTCCACAGAGCATCACTGTGCCTTTGAAGGCTGCATGACCAAAATGCACACTGGAGTTGGATTGATAAAGTTCAATATAAAGTGACTCCAATTCATGCTTCTAAATACAGAATTCTAGATGCACCTTCCTCACATAGTGGATTGTTGATCCTGGCTGTAGAATCAAGTCCAGCTGCCAAGTAAGCGAAGGGCCAATCCTTCCTAACAAGGCAAGTCAGTATCATAGTAGCTCTATACCGCTCCTGCGTACGTCACAGCTAATTACAGGGTAATTTGCCAAGGCAGGGGAGTGGGTTTCCTTCCTGTACATGGTGTATTGCATTGGACAATTGCTGGGAGGTGTGATTGTCAGGAAGACATTTTTGTTTGAATATGTAATGGAATCACTGCAACACTCTCCTGGAGCTCTAGATCAGTTTTGGTGGGTACTTCGTGATATCTTACTGCCTACTGTTGTACAGTTTCTAATCTGGCTATGCTTAAAGTTTTTTTTAGAATTGGGATTTTATTGGTCAAAATCAGGATGAGAATCTTAATGATTATTCTTGATCATTGATGGCAAGTTTTTTGTTGTCACTTATTTCTTAATAATGCTGTCGCCATGAAGCACATCATCCAGTTGACTATTCTGCTGCCCAATGTCCATAATCATGAGATTTCTAGCAGGTGTCACAAGCCAGTGATCAGGAGGAAGAGGACCTGCATCTTTCCTTTGCTTTCCAAGCACAAAGTCAATGAGGTCAAACTGGAATACTTACATTGAAAGCAGGTTCCAGCATAGGCAGGGACAAAAATGGAGACTTTCTTGGTCCAGTGGCTCCATAAACCTCATGCCTTTACCCAATTCTGAGCTCCCCTGCTCTCATGAGACCATACCCAAGTATGATAGCGATATTGTAACTCCTGCCTTATAATGGTGTGAAGTTCACCAAAATCTTAGTTTAAAACTGCCAACCTGGAGTTCAAATCTGTTCATTTGGGTTAGGCCCTTCCCTTTTCACTAGCCCCCACAGCTTACAATCCTCCTAGAACTCTATATTTCTCCAGCTCTGGCTTTTTGTACATCTTCAGCTCATTTGCCTTAAGTGACCATGCCTTCATGCATTTAGGCTTAGAAATGATCTTCCTCCCACCCCCTTTAAAACCTAACTCTTTTGGCCAAGTTATAGGTCATCTATTTCAATATTACCGAATCTTTGACTTGGTGTCAATATCTATGAGGCACATGGGATGTCTTTCCTCACATTTGTACAGTGCCTTCTGCATTAGGTAAGTTGACAACATTGTGAGGGTTGAGAAAGGAAACCTAGATTTCCATGAGCAGCAAAGGACTTGTATTCTTATCCTTTACAGATCTAAACAAGAAACCTAAACAATTCTTTCACAGGTCAA